AGGTTTATATTTTATCTTATCATTAAGATTTTATCTTTAAGTGTCTTTTACTGTCATCAAGACAGTATTTTTATAGATCCTAATTTTTGGTTTTAGTTCTAATGAAATTAACAAGCCAAGTGCATTAAAAATAGCTTATACAATAGGTATACTGTAAATATAATTTCTTTTTAAAATAATGTTTTTAAAAGATTTGTTGATTAAAATAACTTTTTTTGACAAATAAAAGTTTAATACCAATTAGAAAACTGTCTTGTTTGGTTGAAAGTAATGAAAGGTTGAAACTGTCATTGGTTGTCATGGTTGAAAGTAATGAAAGGTTGAAACTGTCATTGGTTGTCATGGTTGAAAGTAATGAAAGGTTGAAACTGTCATTGGTTGTCATGGTTGAAAGTAATGAAAGGTTGAAACTATCATTGGTTGTCATGGTTGAAAGTAATGAAAGGTTGAAACTATCATTGGTTGTCATGGTTGAAAGTAATGAAAGGTTGAAACTGTCATTGGTTGTCATGGTTGAAAGTAATGAAAGGTTGAAACTATCATTGGTTGTCATGGTTGAAAGTAATGAAAGGTTGAAACTATCATTGGTTGTCATGGTTGAAAGTAATGAAAGGTTGAAACTGTCATTGGTTGTCATGGTTGAAAGTAATGAAAGGTTGAAACTATCATTGGTTGTCATGGTTGAAAGTAATGAAAGGTTGAAACTATCATTGGTTGTCATGGTTGAAAGTAATGAAAGGTTGAAACTGTCATTGGTTGTCATGGTTGAAAGTAATGAAAGGTTGAAACTGTCATTGGTTGTCATGGTTGAAAGTAATGAAAGGTTGAAACTATCATTGGTTGTCATGGTTGAAAGTAATGAAAGGTTGAAACTATCATTGGTTGTCATGGTTGAAAGTAATGAAAGGTTGAAACTGTCATTGGTTGTCATGGTTGAAAGTAATGAAAGGTTGAAACTATCATTGGTTGTCATGGTTGAAAGTAATGAAAGGTTGAAACTATCATTGGTTGTCATGGTTGAAAGTAATGAAAGGTTGAAACTGTCATTGGTTGTCATGGTTGAAAGTAATGAAAGGTTGAAACTGTCATTGGTTGTCATGGTTGAAAGTAATGAAAGGTTGAAACTATCATTGGTTGTCATGGTTGAAAGTAATGAAAGGTTGAAACTGTCATTGGTTGTCATGGTTGAAAGTAATGAAAGGTTGAAACTGTCATTGGTTGTCATGGTTGAAAGTAATGAAAGGTTGAAACTGTCATTGGTTGTCATGGTTGAAAGTAATGAAAGGTTGAAACTGTCATTGGTTGTCATGGTTGAAAGTAATGAAAGGTTGAAACTATCATTGGTTGTCATGGTTGAAAGTAATGAAAGGTTGAAACTGTCATTGGTTGTCATGGTTGAAAGTAATGAAAGGTTGAAACTGTCATTGGTTGTCATGGTTGAAAGTAATGAAAGGTTGAAACATCATTGGTTGTCATGGTTGAAAGTAATGAAAGGTTGAAACTGTCATTGGTTGTCATGGTTGAAAGTAATGAAAGGTTGAAACTGTCATTGGTTGTCATGGTTGAAAGTAATGAAAGGTTGAAACTATCATTGGTTGTCATGGTTGAAAGTAATGAAAGGTTGAAACTATCATTGGTTGTCATGGTTGAAAGTAATGAAAGGTTGAAACTGTCATTGGTTGTCATGGTTGAAAGTAATGAAAGGTTGAAACTGTCATTGGTTGTCATGGTTGAAAGTAATGAAAGGTTGAAACTATCATTGGTTGTCATGGTTGAAAGTAATGAAAGGTTGAAACTGTCATTGGTTGTCATGGTTGAAAGTAATGAAAGGTTGAAACTGTCATTGGTTGTCATGGTTGAAAGTAATGAAAGGTTGAAACTATCATTGGTTGTCATGGTTGAAAGTAATGAAAGGTTGAAACTGTCATTGGTTGTCATGGTTGAAAGTAATGAAAGGTTGAAACTGTCATTGGTTGTCATGGTTGAAAGTAATGAAAGGTTGAAACTGTCATTGGTTGTCATGGTTGAAAGTAATGAAAGGTTGAAACTATCATTGGTTGTCATGGTTGAAAGTAATGAAAGGTTGAAACTGTCATTGGTTGTCATGGTTGAAAGTAATGAAAGGTTGAAACTGTCATTGGTTGTCATGGTTGAAAGTAATGAAAGGTTGAAACTATCATTGGTTGTCATGGTTGAAAGTAATGAAAGTTTGAAACTATCATTGGTTGTCATGGTTGAAAGTAATGAAAGGTTGAAACTGTCATTGGTTGTCATGGTTGAAAGTAATGAAAGGTTGAAACTGTCATTGGTTGTCATGGTTGAAAGTAATGAAAGGTTGAAACTGTCATTGGTTGTCATGGTTGAAAGTAATGAAAGGTTGAAACTATCATTGGTTGTCATGGTTGAAAGTAATGAAAGGTTGAAACTATCATTGGTTGTCATGGTTGAAAGTAATGAAAGGTTGAAACTGTCATTGGTTGTCATGGTTGAAAGTAATGAAAGGTTGAAACTATCATTGGTTGTCATGGTTGAAAGTAATGAAAGGTTGAAACTATTATTGGTTGTCATGGTTGAAAGTAATGAAAGGTTGAAACTGTCATTGGTTGTCATGGTTGAAAGTAATGAAAGGTTGAAACTATCATTGGTTGTCATGGTTGAAAGTAATGAAAGGTTGAAACTATCATTGGTTGTCATGGTTGAAAGTAATGAAAGGTTGAAACTGTCATTGGTTGTCATGGTTGAAAGTAATGAAAGGTTGAAACTGTCATTGGTTGTCATGGTTGAAAGTAAAGAAGGTTGAAACTATCATTGGTTGTCATGGTTGAAAGTAATGAAAGGTTGAAACTGTCATTGGTTGTCATGGTTGAAAGTAATGAAAGGTTGAAACTGTCATTGGTTGTCATGGTTGAAAGTAATAAAAGGTTGAAACTGTCATTGGTTGTCATGGTTGAAAGTAATGAAAGGTTGAAACTGTCATTGGTTGTCATGGTTGAAAGTAAAGAAGGTTGAAACTATCATTGGTTGTCATGGTTGAAAGTAATGAAAGGTTGAAACTGTCATTGGTTGTCATGGTTGAAAGTAATGAAAGGTTGAAACTGTCATTGGTTGTCATGGTTGAAAGTAATGAAAGGTTGAAACTGTCATTGGTTGTCATGGTTGAAAGGTCATTTTAATTGTTTTAGTTACAGGATTTAATTAATAACTTCCATTTGTCAAAGATAAAAATTTTGCAGAAAAATTTTGCAAAAATTTTCCTGCAAAAATAAAGGGCCCGCAGACGGGTCTAGCATAGGGCCCTGTTTTAGAATATGGGGACCATACTTGAACCTAATAACCATACTCTACATGTTATCTTAGAGAAACAAGCAAATCCATTGTTAGGAATCGCACCGGCTTTTATTGCTAAGGTTTCTCTTTTAAATTTGTCTGCTGCTTTTTGTTTAAACAATTCCTGTTAGACTTACAAAAGTATGAAACTTGTCATAGCCTTACAAAAGTAATCTACAGAACTTCAACACTCTCTAAACTATTTAACAATTGCTGAATCTTGACTAAATCTTGTTTTTTTGCCAGCCGATTCAGATTCAAATTCCAACTTTTCAAAACTCTAAATTACACTCTGACTCCTCTTACTATCATCAAATCATTCTACTTTTTTTATTAGCACAGTCATTAAGTTTTACATTATTGAGAAATTAATACCCAATCTTATTATTGACAAACTAATACCCATTCTTATTATTGACAAACTAATACCCAATCTTATTATTGACAAACTAATACCCAATCTTATTATTGACAAACTAATACCCAATCTTATTATTGACAAACTAATACCCAATCTTATTATTGACAAACTAATACTCAATATCTTGAGCCTACAGCTGACTTGTTAACTGTTTTAACAGAAAAGTTCTATTACATTAGATAGATGTAGCAAAGCAAGCTTTTTTCATTAAAGCATTGCTTTTTTCATATCAAAAGCTTTCTTTCTGGCATTCAGATCTTCTTTTTCAACTTTTTTCATAAGGTTAAATGCCTTCAACTTGTTTCATAAGGTGTTTCTGGGATAGTCTTCATAATGCCTTCATAAGGTTCTGGGATAATCTTGACAAAAGATCATCACTTTTTGATCACTTAGAATAGCTAGGCTATTGAATTTGATATCTCTTCTATGAAAGCTTGAGGCTTGCAGTGTATTTGAACCCAAACAAAACTAGGTTATTTACTGCTGATAATTATTACAATATAATTTCTAATATACTAAATATCACTAATTATCTAATAATATAATTATCACAATTGATATTCATATATTAATGAATGGCAATACTGTTTCTGAGTTGTCTACTTTACATCTTGCTAATCATGGACTATCATTTACTACTGAACTCTTATGACTTTATAACCCACAATCCATTGCAAAGTTAGCATTTACTAAGGTTCTCCCTTTTTATATTGCTTGCAATTTCCTAACTTCGGAGTCCTCTACCTCTATAAATTTCTTATTTGTCCCTACAACAACATTTACAATAAAAAAAACAATATTAAACTATTTTAGGATGTTCAAGAACAAGCTATAATGATAATAACAGCTATTAGTCATTTGCATGAAACACAATATAAAAAAAAAGAATAAATAAATTTAAAAAAAGAAAAAAAACCTACAGCTCCAGTCAACTTATACATCTAGTGTTGTGTATATGTATAAGTTGACTGGAAAATGTTTTTGTTTATTTTAAAATGAGCTTCAAGGTGAAGGTAACAATGATAAAAGTGATGATTATTTAAAATAAAAATATTATATAACACCCAAATTTTAATCAATTACATAAAAAATATTAAAAAGTTAATAACACAAATGTCTTATTATTTATTATTTTTCTTTTTTTTTTGTCAGAAAAACTGCTTGGAATAAAGTTAACATCTTAAAAATTGAAAAAGTGCTGTGAGTTAGTAATGCATAGACATTAAAAGAAATGTAAAAAGAACAAACGTACCGGTAACATTGAGAACTACAGTAAGATTTTCAGTCCCATACTTGTTTGTTATTTTACAAGTATATATTCCATCATCATAAAATTTTACTGGTCCAACAGTATACACAAATGATCCAGTATAATCTGCACTACCTGATACTAAAAAATAACTGTCTCTATAAACTTCAAATGTTGGTAAAGGGATGGCATCTGCTTTACAAGTTAGAGTAGAGTATGAACCACCAGACACACTAGCATCTGAAAACTTTAAAGAAGATGGAAGCAGTTTTCCAGGTTTATCTAAAAAATACTTTTGTTTTATTATTTTCAATTTTGGGAAATTTAATAAAAAATAGTTAATGTAATCATAAAAAAGATATGAAAAATGAAAAAGAATAAAATTTTATGGATATAAATGATATTTTTTATTTATTTTTATTTTTATTCAGCCAAATTTTATATTTGTAATTTTATTTATGAAACAATTTATAAAAGATTTATAATTTTATATTTATTTTTTTTAAATTATCTAACCAGGATCTTTTATACTAACTGTTCTGTGCACAAAATATTTTTTTTAAAGTATGTTTTAAGAAGGAAATGTAAATTTAGTAGTTTTTAATGAAAACAGAACTGTGAAATGGAACAGGTTTAGCTAGACCTGTTGGTTATGGCTAAAGGCTATGACTTAAAATTCACTAGAAATTGTTTGCGGTTATGACTTGAATTTTTCATAGTTATTAGACTATAAAAAAAAATTAAAAATATTCTGCTGACGCATTATTTGAGGTTAGAGGAAAATGAAAAAAAAAGATTCCCAGTTATGACTTCTTATTACATAACTAATGGTTTTGGTTCTTAATATCTTAATTCTTAACATCTTTCCTTTTATATGTAGAAGGAAAGATGTTGAGAGCTAAAACTTTCCTGCTAAGATGAAAATTTCTGATTTCTTTAAAAATAAATTTTTTAAAAATTTAGAAATTTTCTTATCTAATGATGTCACGAGAGCATTAGAAAATTTTACTAAATAAGTTAAAAAATCGAGTATGAAATGTTCATCTTTATACTTTAGTTACCACAACAAACTTATCAGTTAAACAGAATAGTTATTACAATTAGCCAGAATGCCTTTAAATGATTGAAATAATAAAGAAAATAATATAATAAAAAGTCTTTGATCTGAAGATATTATAAATTTTATTTAATAAATATAAATTTGTGTAAATTTTTGTGTAAGGCTGATAAAATTAACTCATTTCTTTTTAATAAATTAAAGTTTTAATAAAAAACTTGCAATTTGTTAAAAAAAAAAAAAAAAAAAAAAAAGCAGAACAAAAAGACCTGTTTGAAAATTATGCACTGTTGGTATGCATGTGCAATTGTTAATAGAAAGGTCTTAGGTTATGTACTGATAATGTACCATTGTAATAAATTTTAGGGCATCACTAAAAAAGAAGGTTGAAAAGAAGATTTGTTATCATTGTGTACAAGAAAAAATAACTACTGGTATACTAGATTAGCTTATTAGGTCAAAATCAAAAAATGCCAAAAATGTCTAACAAAAAAACTTTTTTGTTTCTGCATAAAAAGAATTCTACAAAACAGTATTGGAAACTAGTTTGTCATACCTAAGCACGAATTTTCATAAAGACCAAGAGCCATAAATCAGGTGCCAGTAACCTTCTACTAGCTTTTAAGCATAAAAGCAAACCTTAGAAGGCAGAAAAAAAGAGAACAGGTTGTTCTGGATTTTCTCGTTATCAGTATTATAGATTCTTAACCTGACTTTTTTTGTTAAAAAAAAATAAATTTTTTGTTAAAATTAATAAAGTCTAAAGATCAATATAAAAAAAAAAAACAATTTTTTTCCTGGTTAGTTAATTAGCACAGAAACAGTGTACAAACCAGTATAAAAGACATACAAACTTAAATGATGTATCATTGCCTTTTAACAAAGTATTTAACTTATAATTAATTACTTATTAGATAATAAACTTCAAATAAATACTTACAACCAACTTGAAAAATAGTGCTTTGTACACTTGTAATTTTATCATATGCCAATATGGATGTAGAACAAGAAATATTTTGTGAGTCTCCTAAATTAATGTTCATAAGAACCAAAGAACTTTCAATTTGAGATGAATTACATAAAGAATAACCCTTAGGACTGTTAGCCATAACTGATTTAATATTATTGAACTCAAACTGTTTGCCATTACCAAACCACGTTATCTTTGGTTCAGGAAGACTCTTAAATGTGCATACAAATTCAACAGAGCTAGCCTCCAACTCAGCAAATGAAAATGCAGGCAGACGTGTTTCAGTTGGTACCGGAGAAACTATCAAAAATCAAGTAAAAAATTGCAAAACTAATTTAAGTTTATAAGTGATCACACACTTTTTTTTAAAAAATTTTAGTAAAAAAAATAATATACAACAATAATAAAAAAGTAACTAAAATATATATCTTATTTAAACTTCATCGTTTCAATTTTAAAAATTAAAAATATTGAAAAATGAAAATGCACACTACCAAAAACCAAAAGTTGTGCACTCAGTGATATGTTCAATAGCAATTAAGCTAGAAAATTCATTGACATGTTTAATACCACTTGAGCTAAAAGGTTGTCCACTTATCAGATGCTTAAACATATTTTATTATTGATTGATTGATTTTATTATTGATTGCTGATTCCTTTCATTTCTCTGTTGAAAATTGTGCCTCATATAACATATGACGTATTTTCTTAGATTTTGGCAGGCAAAGAAACATTCTTCTTTTTTTGGTTTTAAATCAAGCTTTATAGAACTTCTCCTTTTAATGCAGCTGCTATTTTAAACCATGATAATTTTTTTATTCACTTATTTCAATAGAAAAATATTCAGGCATTAATAATTGCCAGAATTTGCCAACTACTTTTTTATTATTGCCAGAAATCAAAAAAAAAAGTAAAAGGGTTATGTCCTTTTTTTTTTTTTTTGATTCCTGGCAATAATAAAAATTATTACTTATTTTTTTCCGATTTTTACTATTATCATTAAATATAATTTTAAATATTGTTACTATTACTGTTTGTTATACATTCTTACTACTAAGGTTGTTCCTCACATTTTTTTAAGTAATTAAATCTAAATGAGGCTGCAAACAACCAATCAACAAACAACCAGTATTTAAGTAAAGAGTTACCAGAAAACTTGGATTATTATTAAAGAACAAGAAAATGTTTGACAGAAGTCTTTATAAACTGTATATTGTTTTAAAGTGCAAGAAAAAAAAACTAGTTTTTAAGAAAAAAAAAAGTTTTTAGAGCATAAAGCCGTAAAAGGATGCAACAGTCAATTAAGCCAGAATGTGTTTTGGTTAATGGAGCTAGATATGCTTGGCATACAGAGCAGCCGCAACTACACTTACAATACATATTTAACTTCTTCTGGAAGAGAAAGAGTATAACTTGAAGAACCAGCCAACCAAATATAAGGTACCATATAAGGATAAATAAGAGGTAAACAATTGAATCTGAAGTAAAGAAAATTATAGAAAGAGTAAGGCAGGAGTTTTGTTTTAAATAAAATGAATAATTTAAATTTATTTAAGTAAAACATTTTACATTATTTTATCTTAAAACTCTCAACAATATGATCAAAAAATATTTAAAAAATGTTTATTCAATCAGTAATTTAGAGTTATAAATAAGCATTGTCTCAAATATTTCATTATAGCCCCTGTTTTATTCTGCCCTGTTTTACTCAACTTTTGTCATTTGAATAGTTACCAAATTTGTTGAATATCTTTTCTTTACTTTACAATGACAGGAAAACTTTTTCTCTAAACTGATATCTTAATTTTAGTTGAATTTATAAAAAAACTAGTATGTGGGATAATAATTTTTTATTTATTTTTATTCAAGTAATAAAAAAAGTATCAAGCACATTACTTTTTATTAATTTGAACTTATTAGGAGCATGCAAAAAAATAATGTAAAAAGAAACACACAGTTAGAAAATCTATGCTACAAGATTAGCTCACAAAATTAGGATGGTCTTTTGTATTTTGTATGGTTTTTGGAAAAATTAAAAAAACTAATCTTCAGTAATGAAAGTTGCTTTGATAAATAGGAAAAAATAGTTCTTGCTAAAGGATTTTTTTCTAAAGAAATTGTACAATAGTAAATATAGCAGTATTAAAGTAAATGTTATGTTGTACTGATATTGCAAATTGGCAATAGAAATTTGCTTTTTTTTAACAAACTCACTTCCAACCTTCAGAAAACCAGTTTAAGCAATTAAGTTGAGAGAAAGAAGTAGAGAAGAAAGTCAGGGAAAATATAAATATATTAAAGAATTTCAAAGCACTGATGTTTAAGAAAAAACTAGGTGAATGAAAATAAAATGAATTAAAAGGGTACATTTTTTTAAATAAAAAGTTAAAAAAGATTTATTTTAAATGGTGGAATAATAGCTCACCTAAGCAACAACATTGGAAATAATTTTAAAAAAGAGATGCAATTTTATGTAACAGAGACTCAGACTTACAACACTTACAACAAACTACATTTGTATTTTTGCACTTTAATTTCTAATCAAAAAAAAAAAAAAAGCATAAACAGAAGGCCCAGCCCACAATTGATTTTAAAAAATAAAATTTAACAACAATTTTTGAAAATTATTGACATTTATTGAGAAATTTTGACAATTATTGACAACGAAAAAATAAAATCTAAAAGCAAATAAATTTATATTGCTACGAATTAACTAATATAGAAAAAAGTATTTTTTTGTTTGATAAAACAAGTTTTAAATCAATGAAACAATTTAAAGAATAGTTTTAAAACAAATAATTTCTAATTCTATTATTTAATAAAATCATTAAAGTGTAAATACACCAATACATATTTACCATACCTATTACTTTGATAGCTGTTACATATTGAAGGGACTGCAGATCAATGAAGTCTATTACAACTTTTATTTGAGATTCATCTGCTAACTTTACTCCTTTTATTTTAACCCCAGCTGAACCTTCACCAAAAATGTACATAAAACGTGACTCTTGGATTGGTAAATACTTTGCATTCTTTATTATTGAAAATCCTAAGTTTGGAACATAGGATGCAATTTTTAACTCTGTATTTCCTATTGAAAACCAGGTAATCGAATCAATAATTTTAGTTTTATCATAAACCCACTTTAGATCCAAATCAGCTCCACATTCTGCATATTCTATTGATCTTGGTTGTGATAGTGATGATACTGCTAAAATATTAATTGATAAAATTCAGCTATTAATGTTTTGTAGGGTAAGTATAATTTTAGGATATTTAAGAGCATATTAGGACATTAGCATATTTCTTAGTAAGAACTGTCCACTCAAAAGGAGGACTTTTGAAAATGGACTATCCAATCAAAAGTTTACTAATTTTTATTCTTCAAACCATACTGGTAGGTTCATACTAGGGTTATAAAAACTCGTGTTTTTTTTTTTTTATTATTATAAAAAAAGCCCGGCTCAATGGATTTTTTGGGGAAATTTTGGGTTTTATTGGGTAAATTTGGGTTTCTTTAGGTCAGGTTTTTATTTCGTATCTGTTAAAATTTTATATATTTTTTTTTTGTTTAATGATATTGAAAATTAGTATAACTATCTACTTTAACTTTACTTTAAATATATTTAGTTGTTATTTAATAATTTGTAACAAGGATTTTTCTAATTATTTTGAAAAAGATTTTTTTAAATAATTTAAAACTAAAATAGAAAAATTTCACGTTAAACCTATATTTCAAACGTTTCACGTTAAACCTGTCTTTTTTTTTAGATTTAAAAGTAATATTTTTTATAATTAAAAATGTAAATGAGAAATAGGAAAAAGAAAATGGAGAATGGAAGGAAGTAACTTAAATTTCAATTGAATTTCCAATTTCAACTTGAAATTGAAAATAATGGACAAATTTGTTTTCCCGCACAGCAGCCTTGTTTATAAAGGTTTGTGTTTCAGAGTTAAAGAGTTGAAAGAGGGTTGTTAGCTACAATAAGTTAACTGTGAAAATATTTGAATAAAAGTTGTGATGATGTGTTTCCGAATAATGATTCAAATATTAAATCTGCTCTGATAGCTGTTATTATTTTTTATAATTGTTAATTAGAAGTAAAAATAATCAATCTCGTTAAGGTGGTACTAAAGCATTAAAATCATAAAAAAACGATTTTGGGATTTTTATTTCAATATATGTAGAATTCAATGCTGGTTTCAAATACGTATAACTTTGATATGTTTTTTTAATAGTATTAGGAGATATAAGGTTTTTAAAAAACCAGGTATAATTTTAATCGCTTAGCAACGCCTTAGCAACGCCAAGCAAGATTTGGTTTTTCCCAAAAATTTAGTTATATATCCATGTTTTTAAACAGGGGGTCGCATTGAAGGTAGGCTCTCTTGTCAAACCGTTATTCCGACGCTGTCCTCAAGGTCCGAAAATGTAAAAAAAAGACTTTTTTATTTAAAAGAGAACCTGCCTACTTCAAACCCTCAGTCGTTGTTTCCACACTCCGCTGCATGTTCTCTCTAAAAATCAGTCGGTGTATGTGCACACCGCAGCGCAAATCCTTATATACCCCATTCCGCCTATTTTCTAGAAATACAAGCTTGCGGACGCAAAGGACGCTCAACGTCGGAATAGGGGTTTGACAAGAGAGCCTACCCGCATTGAATCTTACGAATAAGTTTTTTTTTGATAAAATGTCTTAAATCCATTAGCTAAAATCACATTATTTTCATTAAATCACGACTGCAAGTTTCAAATTTTAAAGTGAAGTAGACACCTAACTACAAATACAATAATTAATTGTTTGGTGCTGTTCCTTATTTATTTATTTTATTTAGAATTATAAAAACATTTATTTAGTATATTAGTTGGTTTTTAAAAATGCCAAAGTCTTTAAAAGCAAAGAAAAAGATGAAGTTTAAAGGTAACAGATTCACAAAAAACAACAAGCTTGATGATAAAACCATGCAAATCGAAAAACCTTGTTCAAGTGAAAGAAAACTTAGAAAGAAAAAATGCAGTAGTTCATTTAGTAACAACGTTGATTATAACATTTTAATAAACTTTTCAATTCTTCAGAATGAGCTTGTAAAATTTATTTTTTGTCCTAAATGTAAGAAAACAGTAACTTTATCAAACAATTTCAAAAAAAAAAAAAGGGATTTTCTTATCTTCTATGTTTGAATTGCACAAATTGTGACTTGAAATATGAATTTGAAAGCTCACAGAAATCAAATAAACTTACTTTAGGAAAAGCTGTAAGCTGCATTAATTATCAAATGGTTATAGCTTTTCGTGAGATTGGTCAAGGTTATCAGGGAATCCGTACATTTGCTAACATTATGAACATGCTGACACCATTATCATTATCCTGGATATCAATTAATAAATAATAAATTACATACTTTTTATAACGATGCAGCTTCAGAAAGCATGAGCAATGCAGCTTTAGAAACAAAGAGTTTACTTGCTACCAATACTTTTGATAACAATAGCATTACAAATTGCCAGGTCTCAGTTGATGGTACATGGCAAAAGCGTGGTTATTTGTCTATAAACGGTGTTGTAACTTTAATCTCAAGAGAAAATGGAAAGTGTTTAGACACAGCAGTTTTATCCAAATATTGTAAAGGATGTGCCATGTGGAAAGGAAAAAAAAACAAACCAGGGTACCTGAACTGGCAAACAAATCATATCTGCCAAGCAAATTACAAAAAATCTTCAGGTTCTATGGAGGCTGCAGGTGCTATTTTAATGTTTTCTCGATCAATAAAAAATTATGGTTTGCGTTACACTTCATATATTGGTGATGGTGAGACATCATCTTTTAATGAAGTCAAGTCTTCTAAACCATATGGAGAAGAAATAACAATCAAAAAATTAGAATGTGTTGGCCACGTTCAGAAGCGATTAGGTGCACGATGCCGCAGTTTGCTTCAAAGTATGAAGGGAAAAAAACTAAGTGATGGAAAAAAATTGAATGGGGCAGGAAGATTGACAGATAAAGTTATAAATAAACTTCAAAATTATTATGGAATGGCAATTAGGCAGAATAAACTATTATACCCAATGAAGAAATCTATTTGGGCTGTGTTATTTCATAATAGTAATATAAGTAATCCCATCGAACGCCATCAATTCTGCCCTCAATCTAAAAACAGTTGGTGCTTGTGGCAAACAGATAGATTTAATGATCAAAACAAATACAAACCCACATTGAATATACCGTTGTCAATCAAAGCTGTTCTTCTCCCAATTTTTCATGATCTTTCAAGTGATGAGTTACTTTCCAAATGTTTACACGGACAAACCCAAAACAACAATGAAGCTTTAAATTCTATAATATGGAAAAAATGCCCTAAAAATATTTTTGTTGGAAAAAAGGTTTTGGAGATTGGAGTTTCATCTGCAATACAGTTTAATGAAGGTGCTACTGGTATTTGCAAAGTTTTTGAATGTTTAAAAATTCCTGTCAGACAGTTTATGAATAAAGGATTTATTAAAAAAAAACAATGAACGAATCAGAAATATGAGGAGAAAATCATCAAAAAAAGGAATACAACAAAGAAAAATCCTTAAAAATATAAGAAAAGGTTACTCAGACATTGAAAATGAATCAGAAAAACTACCAGCTTATTCTATTGGTGGTTGGTAGTTGACTGTGAAAGTTTATTGGATTTTAAAACATGTTTTTTGCCATTTGAATATTTTCAATATACACGATTACGCAGAATTAAATATCTCAAGATCTAAAGGTGCAATTACAATGAAATTTTCAGGATGTATTGATGATACTCATATGCAGGAGTTGTACTAGAATTAAGTTCTAATACAAAATAGTTCATGAAATAATGCCAGATATGTCCCCCACCTGACACCCGCAGCTGGTTCAATAAGGTAAAATTGCCTTTACTCCTAAACTATATACATACGGTAGATGATTCTAGTACAACTCCTACATCATTATGGGACCTATGTTATTGTAAAGTTTTGGAGCAAATAAATGACCCTATCTTGAGATATTGCATTCTGCGTATTTTTCTTTTTATGTGTTTTTAGATTTGGGTAAGCGAGGCAAAAAATTTTTTGTTACAAATTATTTCAAAATTTGTATATTTTAGTTTTATATATATAAAACTTCTAATTAACAACTTTTTAATACTTTATTTAACATTTTAATAATAGCTTTAGTACCACCTTAATGTGAATGAAAACTAAAATTAGGAATTATTTGAAGAGAGAAAACAGAAATAGAATTAAATATTAGCATCAGAAACGAAAAGAGAAGTTAAATTATTTATTATTACTGAACGAAAATTACTGAATTCAAAAGTAAAATTTAACAAAAAAAAAATTTTATATCAATATATTTACACTTATTTTATTGTTGTTACACATGTCTGACCACCAATCTAGTCACGATCTCTTTGGCTTGTTTGCTATGCTTTTATAAAAGATTAAATGTATCGCTGACGTAAAGTTTTAGAAAAGATTAAATATATATTGACGTAAGAGCCAAACTCTTAGGTCAACGATACATTTAATCTTTTGTTACAAAAATATATAAATATTTCAAGACACTAAAGAGTTAATGAAATTATCATTAGAGATGAGAGTTTTTATGAAACTAAACAAGAATATGAGAATTGAAATTACAGTGTTTATTTTCTTACAGTTTCAATAAGATCTCAACTCAATTGAATTTTTAATGACTGTTTTACAATTATTGTTTGATTATTTATCTTGTATTATATTATATGATGAAATTGCTTTAACATAGTTGTCTTGAAATTTTGATAATGATACTTAATAAGCTAATATCCTGTTAAAAATTTCTATAAGCTAATATCCTGTTGAAAATTTCCAAAAAAATTGAAAGAAGTGAAATATGAACTGAATTGAACTGAAATAAGAAGTAGAATTGTTGAAATTTGAAGAACTGAGCTGAAATTAATTTTAAGAGAACTGATTTAAAACTAAAATAGGAATAATTTTATAAGTAAAATTAAAATTAGAAATAAAATCAACACCCCAAGAACTGAATAGAAATTGAAATAGCAATCGTATTTTGAACTTTAAAAGCTTTTAAACCACTGATAAAAGGTACACATTTACATTAATTATGAAATATATATTATGTATTTATGAAGTTTATATTACTGATGAAATCTGTACATTAGGGTTATCATGCTTTTAAAACTCTCTCTCTCTCT